TGGGTGTGTGTCTGTGTGTGTGTCTGTGTGTGCATGGTGTGTGTGTGTGTGCATGGTGTGTGTGTCTGTGTGTGTGTGTCTGTGGGTGTGTATGTGGTCCTGGGAATGGAACTTTGGATTTTGTGTGTGATACAAGAGTGTCCCACTGCTAACCTATATACCCATACTCTAAGAACTAGTGTAGAGTCTTGGTACAGATAAAACACCACTTTAGTATACAAAATGCCTTCATTTGTGGGCAATATAAGAAATTAGACTACAATATTGGGCCTCCACTGTTATCTAGGACAGCAATTTAGAGTTAGACAACCCACTCTCTAAAACCTACTCTAAAATCCTGTCACATGTGTGTCAGGACACACTGGTCACATCCCTGCTGATTTCCTCAGGTGAATGTCTCAGTAGCATTCTTGTAAAGGTGTTATGATTAGCTGTTATATTAGGTTTTTCTATAGATGATATTTGAGAGCTCCTCAATTTGTCTCAACAGATATTCTCCGGACTCTTCCACGCCATGTGTGTTCAGGCTGAGCTTACTGACTAGATGTGCTAGTGTCAGCGTTCATGTCTAAAACGCTGTGGCAGAATGATCATCAGGTTCTATCACTGGATTCCTTATACCAAAAAAATTCCAGCTAGTGCCAAGGCACACTGCCAACATCCTACAGCTCTTTCCCAAGACACCTTGATTGAACAAATGAGGTTAGTTTGAGAAAATGAAGAGGAAAATGGACTCCCGTTTTTAGCTAATAAGCTAGTTATCTGTTCTCTGTCAAGCTCTCCTGAGGGCTGTGCTCAAATGCGAACGATTAAAAATGTGACTCTGGGACAGAATTTAAAGAAGTCAATGGTACTGGCCCACAAGGGCAAAGAGAACAATATCACATGACCCATCAACAAAATGTTGAAGCTGGAAGTTAATGAATGAATGGTAACTGAGAAGCAGAGCTGGAACCTTGGCACCATAAGAGGTGTATGAGGCAAGAAGGGAGTAATCAATCAAAAGTCTACGCCTAGGCAAGCCAAGAGGGGCTGAAGAGTAGACGGCAGGGCGCTGGGTTAAGACCTGTGAGACCAGGCAGCAACTCTTCCCCCTGCCCTTGAAGAGAAGTGAAAGAGTGGGGAACTAGATTTGATGATGTCAAGGAAACTGAACCTGGCATCTGGTGTCATAATGCAATCAAGAGTAGTGTGAAGGAGTACACATTTGGTGGCTTAACATCCAAACACTTTACAACATTCTCCTCCAAATGGCAGGGAGGTGCATAAGAAGATAAGATTCTGTGTCAAGAAAGTGGCAGCTGGGGCTAGTGACATGGCTGGGAAGTTAGGGGCACTTACTGCTCTTTCAAAGCTCTGGGATCAGTTCCCAGCACCAAAGGGGGATTTGTTATCCTCTTATGGCCTCCTTGGGCTCTTGCATACATGTAGTATGAATAAACTCATACAAACAAACATATAACATACAAAAAAAGTGACACTTAATTGCTGCTTGTGGTGGGGGAGACTGAGGCAGGACAAGCAACCATGAGTTACAGGTTAGTCTGAGCTACCAGAGCAATCTCAACAAGAGAGACAGACAGACAGACAGACAGACAGACAGAGAGAAAGACAGAGACTGAGACAGAGATAGCTAGACAGAGAGAATATACCCTGGTTATGTTCTTTGTCAACTTTTCGCAAGGCAGAGTCATCTGGAAAGAGGAAGCCTCAATTAAGAAGAGGCCTCCACAAGATTGGCCTGTAAGCAAGTCTGTGGAGTACTTTCTTGATTAATGACTGATTCGGGAGTGCCCAATCACAATAGGTGGTGTCATCCAGGGCCAGGGAATCCACAGTGTATAAGAGAGCAGGCTGAGCAAGACGTGGAGAGCAAGCTGTTGAGCATTCACGCCTCCACTGCCTCTGCATTAGCTCCTGCCTCTGAGTCCCTATCCTGACTTCCCTCAACAAAGGGCTTAAGTTGTAAGATGAGATAAACCCTTTCCTCCCCAAGTTGCCTTTGGTAATGGTCTTTATTACAGCGACAGAGAGTTAACTAAGACTGGCGTGGAGGGCAGAGAAGAGGAGGAGAGAAGGTTCACAAGAGAAAAGACGTTTGGGGGTCACCCGATGAAATCACAGTACCCTAAAGAAGTCCACGCTCTGAATGTTGAGAATAATGCGATTTTAAATGTGACTTTCCAGTGATGAATTTCTGTTTCTACCCAGGTTACCCGTCAATGACAAACCAAGGCTTGAATCGATGGTTTACCCCTCTCCAAGTCACTAGTTTATCTGCAGCAATAGGAAAACTGTTTGACAAAGACCAGAACCAGACTGTTTTACATGGTAAGTTTTCCTGGTCTTCCCCCCACCCCCCCTCCCAAGAAGTACAAACAAGATAAAACAGCATTATATGTAATCAATATTCCTTAAGTCTGTGAGTTCACGATGCAACATTGGAGTCAAGGCAGAGTGAGCAGCACCATGAATTTCTTGACACTTACCGGAAGCTCTTGATGAATGGCGCTTCCATCATTGAGAACCCTTCAGCTATTCCGGCTAAACAGGCTAGCGTTTTCCCCTGTCTGTTCGCGAAGTAAAGTTTCCCACACCTTACACTGGTTCAGAGAGCAAAAGCTTGCTCAGCTTCTGTTGCAACAAAACGCCTTGCAAAGGAGAAAGGTCGCTATCTTTAGAGACACAGCACGCTGTGGGCAGTAGTTTGTGGTTGGTACTGGGGAGAAACAGAGAGGACAGGAAAGGGGTTAATCCCTGAGAAGGTTTCCCCATGCACTCACAGTGACAACTCTCAGAAGCCAGAATGAAGTGCAGACATCTCAGACACGCAGAAAAAGTAGTCACTTTTAAAAAACAAAACAAAAAACAAAAGCTCCTCCCGCCTCCCATAACCCACGCTGGCATCAAGCACACTATGCCTCAGCTGATGCCCTTGAACTTTGGTCTTCCTGCCAAATCATGAGTTCTGAGATCGCAGGTTCATAGGACCATCTCTGCATTTATGTGGCCTGGCACTGAGGGGCTGAGGGTTGACCATGAGGCTTTGTGTGTGTGCTAGGCCAACCCTCTACCAACCGAGCTGCACATCTGGCCGAAGCAATCAAAATAAATAAACAAGTAAACAGATGAAAATGAAAACCTCTAAGAAACAACAGGACAGATAAGAGTTGTCAGAATCTGGAATCCTTTTATAAAAATAAAATAAAATTACTGTGATTTAATGGGTAAATCAAGGCAAAACTTCATTCAATTTGGAATAAATGTGTGATTATTAAAGTATAGAGCCAGCAACTGAACTCCTGGTATTGTCTGATGTGTGTATGTGTGTGTGTGTGTGTGTGTGTGTGTGTGTGTGTGTGTGTGTGTTTTCCTCCCCTTTCTTTTCCTGAAGGAGTGATCCCTATGGAATAAAATGTGTTTAAAGAACATCAATCCTTTCCTTTTTTTTTTTTTTTTTTCCAAAATTCAATTCACTTGGTCATTTTTTTTTTCTGTCAAACCCCCAGGATCTGGGCGAGTTTACTAGGGTTTCAAACTCCTTCTAAACCTTTCAGCTTCTCCCAGGGCTCAAGGCCCACTGGAGTTTGTCAGCACCAAGAATTTCAACTGGTAATTATAGAAGAATATCACTTGCTACCCAAGTCCAAATTTCAAAGTTAAGTGTCTTCACCAAATAAACAGAGAAACTCTAGACAGTTGGAAGATACAAGCATGCCCCACGCTGCCAAAGAAAATAAGACAGACCTGACAATCGACAGGCTGGGTGTTAGACAGTCACATAGATAGAATTAATGTGCTTTTTCTCATGCAAAGGAAAAAAAATTAGATGCAAACTTTACATTTAAAACTGCATTGTTCCTCTTTAATCTGGCCACCATCCGAGAGGTGATCTGTATGTTAGAGAAGAGATGAATGGGAGACATTGGCAGGGATTGAAGCCGGGGGATGAATGTGGAAATGTAGAATGGATGTTTCTTTTTTTCCCCTTTTCTGGCTTTGAGTTGACTGTTGTTTCTGTCTGTTTTTCAGAACTGATCCGTGAGGACAGGGAAGTCAGTGTGGGCGGCTCTCCGGAGCCTCCCTCTCTTACAGCTGCGGCTTGGAGGATTACTGCGCCTCATCCACAAGGCAACATTGCACCAGTAGCCTTTGAACAAAAGTCATGGATACTATTAATGATATGATAATCCTTAATCGACCTGCCTCCCAGTAGTGATTATACTGACATGGGAAGAATATCTAAGCCCCCGAGGCGGCCCACAACAACACTGCGCCATTGTTCACCTCAGGCTTGACCACAACTAAGTTTTACCAGTATCGGCTAACGTCACCTTTCCCTCCGGAGCGTCCCCCCACCAATCCCAGGGGAGCCCCAACTCATTCTCCCAACCCATCATGGTTGGGAAAAAAAAATTGGCAAAGAAAACCCTACTCTTAAATCTTTTTTTTTTTTTAGATTTTTTTTTTCTTTGCAAGTTCCCACACACATTTGGTGTCGTCTCAAAATCCGTGCTGTCAACTGTCTCCAGGAGCCATTTCCATCTGAGAGGGAGACCACACAAAGGTTAGCTCGGTGGGTCCCAGTGAAGATGTTTTAATTGTCTCACAATAGATCCCTCTGTCATTGTACTTGCAAATTCTGCCCTCTTGCTCTCTGATAACATGTTCAGAATTACACAATTTGTCAATAAATTTTCCCCAAACTCCTTATGAAATGAAGAGAATATGTTTTCCCATTCCATGTGATTCAGACGCTGGTGGGAGAGTCTTGATTTGCTAAGTGGTGGGACTCCCTTAGGAGACAAATCTGCTTTACCCAAAGACAAACTCCCATTGCAATAGGCAAGCGACTCCCACAGGAAGAGGCGGTTTTATGAATTATGTAATTATGTCTGATAAACACATCCACATTTCAAATGACTTGCTATGAGCCTACTACACACACACACACACACACACACACACACACACACTGCAGCTATCACTCCAAGTTAATTATTCTTTTTCTAGAACTTAGATATTTTAATAAAATATGATTTTCTACCCATCCCAGACAAACCTAAATAAAAAACAATAGCAGATACAATTTTATGGGTACTCTCTACAGTATATATAGAAAGCCTTTATTAAGCCATTGTGAAATAAACTTTTTTTTTTCAGAGATGGTGAACCAAGAAGTTACACCAAGTCACCAGTATTTTTTTAACCAAGCACATTTTTTTTTAATTTTGGAAATTACTTATATTTCTGTAGTACTGCCATCTTTAATGGACATAGATGGGTACTGGGTACATATGACTGTAAAGGACAAACAACAAACATGTTATATACTTACAGAGTTTTTCAGGGTGTGCTCTGTTTTAGACTTGAGGGAAATGGATGAAGGCAGGAGATTTTCTTTCCCCTTTCATTTCCATATCTTCAATACTTGCAGCTGACAACAACTGTGTACCGTTTCCCGAATTTAATAACAAACAGGCAGAAAAATATGACCTGTTCAGAATATTGTGAACCACTTCTCTTTCAGGGGTTAAATCTTGCCAAGACATTTATATGAAAGTGGCACTGTGGCTGCTTCTCAGCCACGGCCAAGCAGAGCAGGGATTTCTGATCCATGTCAAATGATTGCACAAATAATACACCATGAGACGAATTAACGAATTAAAGCATGGGAGCCTTACCGTCATACAAGCATGTACATCCTTAGTGGGAAAACATGTCTGATCAGCACCATGCTTCAACATTATGAGTCATAACTTTTATTACCCTTAAAGATGCAATGTATAATACTATATTACCTTTACAGCCAAGGGCCAGCCCTGTTCTCTACCCAGCCAGGCATTAGGAAGAGCTCCATGTATGTTTGTAAATCCGCGAAGTGTAGACAACACTGCCTGCTCCTGTCACCTTGGGGCCGGTACTAGACTGCCATCGCTAAACTAAAAGTATAAAGCAGCGGTCCTCAACCTGTGGGTCATGATTACTTTAGGGGCCCAATGACCCTTTCACAGGGGTCGCCTGAGACATTGGGAAGGCACAGTATTTACGATTCATAACAGTAGCAAAATTGCAGTTATGAAGTAACAATGAAAATAATTGTATGGTTGGAGGTCACCACAACATGAGGAACTGTATTAAGGGTCACAGCATTAAGAAGGTTGAAAACCACTGCTATAAAGCCAGAAATTAAAATGAACTCTTCTCATGGCTTGAATTTGAAATGCTCCCCCAAACCCCACCTGACAGCCTCAGGTCTTGGGTCCGTGTTTCCAGCTGGTCGTGCTTATGGATGGGATGGGATGGGATGGGATGGGATGGGATGGGATGGGATGGGATGGGATGGGATGGGATGGGATGGGACGGGACGAGGTGGAATGGTATGGTATAGAGCCTTCAGGAGGCAGAGCTTTGCTGTGGAACTGGGTCACTGGAAGCAAGCCTTTGACGGTTACATCCAGGCTCTCAGCTCTCCAAGTTCTGTGCTCTGGCACGCTATGATGTGCAGAGGTTCAGCCACAAGGTCACCCCACCACCACCACCACCACCACGTGCTTTGCTGTGCCTTCCCTACCATGTTGGACTGAGACCCTCAGGAATCATGAACCAAACTAAATCTTTCCTCTCATGTGCCATTCCCACTAGGTATTTATAACGGTAACGGTAACGGCGGTGCTCACCGCACACATGTTCTGTTCTGGGTTCGGCAGTTGGAGCTCAAAGATCCACACGTCTATTTGATAAGGGAGACTTCACTATGGAATCTGGATTAGCTATTCACCAATGGAGGCTCTGCTTTGGTGGATAACTGGCTAGCAGTCAGAATATAGCGGTGGTTGAGAGCTGCTTTTGTTCAATTTGTTTCTCAAATGAAATTGGGGCCATAACAGGGCAAATGCCATCTGACCAGCAAAGGTAGAGAGCTGAATGGAGCTGTCTGACAAGAAAAGGATACATTTCATTGTATTTTATGATGCCCTTACCTTACCCAACCTTTCCTGCGCCTCCTGGTCCCCCTCTGTTTTCATGCCATGCATATATGTGTGCACACATACATATTCTATATGTGAGGGACGAATCCCCCCATACCGTCTTCTCTTTAGACCCATCCCTTCCTCTCCTCTCAGTCCCCACTCTACCTCCCTGTTCTAGATTCTGCCCACGAGAGGTAACAATTATTTGTCTGGCTTATTTCTTCATAGCTGAACAAAATGCCATTGTTTTTTTTTACATATATGTACAATATATTATATACAATCAACAAACAAACATGTTGTACACATTTCATATATAATTATGTTATTTATATATTATACAGTTGTATAATATAAGTTCCCATTCCTTATCCATCCACTGATGGACATGTAGGCTGGTTCAGCTTCTTAACTATTGTGAATGGTACAACTATAACCCTGCATTTGCCAGTGTTTCTGTTGTGGATTGATTTAGAAGCCTTGGGGTATATGCCCAGAAGAGTTATAGCTGGGCCATTTGGGAGCTTTTTGTTTGCTTATTTGTTTTGGTTTATTTTATGTTTTTTCTTCTTCGAGACAGGGTTTCTCTGTGTAGTCTTGTCCTGGACTCGCTATTGTAGACCAAGCTGGCCTCAACTGTCACAACTCATAGAGATCCACCTGCCTCTGCCTTCCCAAGTGCT